TTAGGTTTTTAGGGCCATGATGCTGTAACATCAGAAAGAATTTAAGGAGAATAAATTCAAGTCACTTTAGAAAATCAGAATCATGAAGTAAAACAGTAACAGCACTTGGCTAGATTCTATAAGCATGATTTTCTTACTTTAATATTTATAAAATTCTTTCGGTTGTCTAAGGTTTTTCCTTTAGAAATGTATTTATAAAAATAACATATTTTAGAAAAACGTTTAAAAATAGATGCTAGTGCTGCAGTTAGTAGGCTGAACATTATATAAAACTATAGAAGAACAATAAAAGACTTTAATTATTCTAAATGCAATGAAATCTAAATATAGCACACAAACCAGTATGCAAAATAGTCTCAACATGTTACTAAATTTAACAATAATTTACAAAACTTTATAAAAATTCTATAGGCATGTATAAGTTGTTGTCCACAGTAAGTTGTCAATTTATTTATACTCTCCTTTCATTTCACTAAATCTATTCTTTTTCATTCATTATTTTAAAACTTTTGTCCCTTTCTCTCACTATTTCACTTGGTATAATACCCTCTAGATCAGTAATGGCGAACCTTTTGAGCTCAGCGTGTCAGCATTTTGAAAAACTCTAACTTAGCTCTGGTGCTGTGTCACATATAGAAATTTTTTGATATTTACAACCATAGTAAAACAAAGATTTATATTTTTGATATTTATTTTATATATTTAAATGCCATTTAACAAAGAAAAATCAACCAAAAAAAATAGGTTCGCCATCACTGCTCTAGATCCATCCATATAACTTTAGTTATATGTGAAATCTAAAGAGCAAAACAAACAAACAAATTCACAGTCACAAAAAGCAGACTGATGGTTGCCAGAGGGGTGAGGTTTGGAAGAGTTGTCAAAAAGGGTGAATAGATTAAAAAGTACAAATTAGTATTAAAAAAATAGTCATGGGAATGTAAGTACATTATGGGAAATATAGTCAATGGTATTGTAATAGGTATGTCCCGTGCCAGTGGGTACTTGAGATATGGAAGGGGGGGGGATCTTTGTAACGTACATGATTGTCTATCCACTATGCTGTATACTTTTAGTTTAAACTAATACAAAGTAGTATTGAATGTAAACTGTAATTAAAAACTAACATTTAAACAAACTTCTGCCCCTTGCAGACTTTCCTTCAAGCTTACCATTGTTACCGCATTTTTATTTTCCCATATCTCTATTCAGAGCTATCTCTTTCTGATCACCTCTCTTTGCTTTATTTCACCCTTACAAGTCATTCATTATCACAGATTAGTTCTTCCAGAGCCTGAATCATTTCTCTTTCCTCCCATTTCTCACTATTTACTCTTACTGGGGATAATTCCTGGCACATTTGCTATTTTGGAGGTGACACTTGCAGGAAGATGTCAGCATTGATAAGATGTGGTGAATGAACACAATTCTTAACATTGAATTCCTTAGTGGAAGTGTGGGGATTTTAAGTACCTTTACTGCTCTTCTCTAATGTATTAAGAGTCTCAAAGAATAATTCTCCATTAAAAAATAAGAAAATACTTGGCAAATCATGAAGTTGAATATCCCAGAGAAGCCCTGAATGTATTTTGGTCATTAAGAAAAGAAATAATGCCCTAGCCAATTTGGCTCAGTGGATAGAGCCTTGGCCTATGGACTGAAGGGTGCTGGGTTCAATTCTGGCTAAGGGCACAAGGGCATATACCTAGGTCACAGGCTCCTCCAAGGCCCAGGCCCTGGTCAGAGCTCATGCAGGAGGCAACCAATTGCTGTGTTTCTCTTACTTTGGTGTTTCTCTCTGTCTTTCCCTCTCTCTGAAAATCAATGAAAAAAATGATTCTGTGGGGGTGGGACTTCCTCCTCTCTGCTGTCAGTTTCCACAACTGTGATGAGGAAGCTGGGTTGACAGAGGGAGCCACGCTCTCCAAGCTGCCCTCTCTCTCAATCTGCTCTATGTCCAGCGGCCTCCTGCTCTGCCAAGTCCTCCAAACATCCCGCTCTCTGCCTTCTCTCCTGCTCTGCTCTCTGCCAGTGAAAGTCCCCGGAGCCCGTGGGTGTGGCTAGGCTCAGCCAGCCTCACCTCCCTGGCCGGCGATGGTCCTGGGAGCCTGTGGCTGCCGTTGCCTCCCAGGGCACTTGATACCCACATATGCAAATTAACCTGCCATCTTTGTCAGGTTAATTGCATACTCACTCCTGATTGGCAGGTGGGTATGGCTTGTGGGTATCGTGGAGGGATGGTTGATTTGCATCTTTCCCTTTTATTAGTGTGTGTGTGTGTGTGTGTGTGTGTGTGTGTGTATATATATATATATATATATATATATATATATATATATATATATACTCACATACACACACCCTTGGGTGAAGATTAAAAAAAAAGTCATTTCTGAATAATATAAGACTATGTCTTCCAAATGTTACAATGTACTTTTGTGTGGTCAATCAACAAGAGCTCAATATTTTCAAAAACTTGTACAATGTATGCTTTCTAATTTCTTAAACGGTCAATTAGGATTCAGAGATAGTGCATCTCAAGTAGGCCTAAGGAGAAGAAACAGTTTAATTAACAGATTGATCATCAAAAATCTAAAATAAGTCTAGATATTTCACATTAATTTTTTTTTTGCTCATGTATGTTACATCTCTATGGAACTCTGGAGGTCTCATGTCTCTATGGAATCTCTCACGAGATCTAATTCTCAAAAATTTATAACCATATTTCTAAAATTCAGGTTCTATAGTAAGTATGTATATCTTTGAGTAGTTGCCAAATACATTTTACCTCAGGATATTGGGTTCTTTAAATATGGATGAGCAATTTCCCTTTCAAATAACTCAAACTAGGAGAGAGAGAACAAGAAAGAATGTCAAGGGCAACCAGCCTCCACTTCAGGAGCCTCCTCTTCAATCCTGGGCTTTGCTTTTCCCAGCCACGATGGTCAGGAGCCTTCACAGGGGGGAATGGGCTCCAGGAGCCTTCCCATTCATTCACATTTAAGAAAGATTATGTTTTCTAAGAGCCTCTCCTTCAGTTTATGATAATATTAGCTATTCTTTATTAGGTCCTTAGTATATGCCAAAAATATTAATGCATTTCAACTACATTACTGGATTGGATTGGATTCCAATAGAGCAAACTTCTTCTGAGCAAAGTGCAATTATTCTATTTTATAGATTTGGTAACTGAGATTTAAAAAGATTAAGTCACTTTTTCATGCTAGGAAGTGGAAACAACTGGGGTTTGTTTCATTTGTCTGACTTGAAATCTAATGTCCTCTCCCACTAAGTTGTGCTATGCAATATGGTGTACAGGAAACAGTGTTGTAAATTTAACATCTCCTTGAATAATTTTCTCAACTTATATTTCCCCAATTGTTAAAAAGAGGTTAATGATAACTAAGCCTTTTTAACTTATAAGAATATTGTGAAAACAAATTTTAAAATGAAAATGTTTTATAAGCTATACAGATCTATGTGAATGAAAACTAATCCAAAATTTAGACTTGTACATATGAAATACATATAAATGTCTATTGAATTTAAATTTTATTGATTCTGCCTGGCTGGTGTGGCTCCATGTTGAGTGTTGACTTAATGAACCAGGAAGTCACGGTTTTATTCCAAGTCTGGGCACATGTCCAGGTTGCAGGCTCCACCTCCAATGTGGGGCATGCAGGAGGCAGCCAATCAATGATTCTTTCTCATCATTAATGTTTCTAGCTCTCGCTCCCTTTCTCTATATGAAATCAATAAAATATATTAAAATTTTTTATTGATTCTGTGGAGTAGGTACAGTGACCATTAAATTTTAGGCTATATAGTAAAGTTAATGTCTATGCTGAAAAATTAGGTGGATTAAATGACTTCTTGGCTGATGATTTCATACATGAGCTATGGTGTGATGCTTTTCTTACAAGACTCATTCTCATCCTCACTTCATGGCAAGTAAGAAAAGTTATTTAAAGGTACTAGAAAAACACTGTTTCTTAAGGCATCAAGAATAGAGTGCAGCTGAAGCACATGAAGGTCAGAGAAATAGGAGATAGGAACTGTCAAAATCTCTCTCTTTCTCTCTCTCTCTCTTTCTCTCTCTCTCATTTCTTCTGGCTTCTGTATGGCTGATTTATTCTTCTGAGTCACTGAGGACTGGCCATTTCTGTTTCTCATTAACACATGGTTTGAAATGGAATCCTCTACTAAGTTTAATATCTCTTCAAGTTCAAGTTTCTAAGGTTATGCTACCAGCATCTGGATCCCAAGTCCAAATTGTCTAGGGAGAGAATCCAACTGGTCTAGCCTGAGTCAATATCTACTCTTACTACAGGATCTCTTAACCTTCAGTTCTATTAACATTTTGTTCTAAATCATTATTCTTCATTCTGTGAGAATGGAATTAGGCTCTCCCGTACCTTGGTAGGATGCTATTAAAACACTGTCTAATATTATAGCTAGTATACTTATTTCAAACAGTCATCTAATCTTAAAGTCCTGCTTAAAATTCTTGCCAATACTTTGCCCTAAAACATTGTTTTCATGAAATAAGTTAATTTAAGTCTACTCTGATATACTATGCTTCTTCTAACCTTTTTTCAAAGACCCAGATTTGATAACACACTGCTTTGCCCAGGGAATAGGGAAACAGGCATGTACATGCATTGCTCTTGGCAGAGGAAATTGCTACAAACTTTATAGAGAACAACATCTCCATGTTCGTGATTTCTATCAAATTTCTTATACACATATCCTTGACCCTGCAATGACCACTTCTAGGAATTATCCCCACAAATAAATTAATGCACATATGCACGAAGTGAAAAAATCAAGGTGCATTGCAAAGCCTGCTAACCTTTGAGTGGAAGATGGGACAGATACATACACCACAAGGAAGCAAAAACTCATTTTCATGTTTCTTATCCCCAGACAGCTGAAAATCATCAATTATTAAAATGATTTGACCATTTCAAGCCTATGCTCTCTACTAGTTGAGCACTTACAAGTCTGGCAATGGTTTTCTGTGGGTCCCCAGCATCGGCCGGTACAGGACTTATGGCAACGTCCACCTGCAGAAGAGGCAAAAACACATTCACATTATAATCTCTCATTCTTTAACTTTTCTCCCCTAATGAAATATTCTTGCTCCTTTATGAGGATTTTTAAGTCATACTAGAGTTGAAGCATAGCCATAAAACGCTTGCTTAAGTAACAGAACCTGAATGTCAAATGCATGTGACGTGAAAAACAATCTCTTCATATTCAAAATAGTCTCATCATTTTATAAAAAAAGGAAATCAATGAGTTTATGCATTTTACCAGCTAGTAAGAAGGAAATATTTACATTAAATGCATTTTAGTTTGATTACTGAACAGTTTTATGCTTATGACCTATTATATTGGATATAATTTCTAAAGTACATGGCTTACTGATACCAACAGTTATTAAGGATTATGTCAACACTTAAGTTCAAGTCTATGAAAACAAGAATATGTTCTTATAAACACATAAAAAACCATCAGAATAAAAGGTTACATACATCATTTAGATTATCTTTAATTGCAGGAAATTGTCAAGAGGACTTGACCATCACTTGAACCTTAAGCTGGACCTGGGCAATTGGAACACCCTCACTTCGCCCCTGTCCTTGGAATGTACATCCTGGCTGTTGTTCCCAAGCCAGCATTTGTTACAAGGGTGTAGCCTAGAGAGAGTGGGTGTTGTTGAGACCAGCTGGACTGAATACATGACTGAACCCATTAAGGCCTCTATATGAACTTTTAAGATTCTAGTGGGAGTGTGTGGAAGTCTACTCATCTTGTGGCCATCAAAGACAAGCTTCATATATCAATTCCCTGGCTTCTTAAACCTGCCACATACAAATCTGGAGTTGCCTGCCTCTTTCTTCCATCTCTCCTTGCCCTCAGTGTACAGGGCCAATGTGTGAACCAGTATCTTAATATAAATTTTTAAAAATATATTTTTATTGATTGCAGAGAGGAAGGGAGAGGGAAAGAGAGATAGAAACATCAATGACGAGAGGTAATCATTAATCGGATGCCTCCTGCATGCCCCCTACTTGGGATAAAGCTTGTAACCTGGGCACATTCCCTGACTGGGAATTGAACTGGTGACCTCTTGGTTCTGGCTCGGCTTAATATAAAAAGTTTAAGCATTTAAACAGCTAAATTTTTGGAAATCTTAATTTCATTATTTGATAGCCTCCTCTAAAATTGTTATTGTTACTACCTTCATTTTCAAATAGCAGCCTTTATCTCCTGCAGTGGCATCTTCCTCTTAAAGACTCTGCTATCATGGATATTTGCCTCAGCAAATACAGTTGTCCCACAGAGAAAGTCCCATAAGGACTCAACAAAAGAACATTAGCTAAAGCAATTGTACATAATGACTTTCTTTGAAGTTTGTTTCTGAATTTTATAGGCTCGCTCTACATTTTTGTTGGTACAAGGGTATGGCGTGGGCTTATTTTTAGAATAAATAGTAGACATGAAAAATGATTAAAGATGAAAGCTCTGTTAATGTTCTAATATCGACTGCAAGTGGGTATATGGCTAGTCAAGACTTTTATTATAACATGTTGCAAAAATTATGGAATAGGGTTCTATCAAATGTATCCATCTTTTCTTGATCCACAGTTTTTAACTCTTCAACTTGGAAGTTCTTACACTTGGGCAGCTTCTCTCTCTTCCTCTCTCTCCTTATGATACTGAGTATGTGTATTAAGTTAAATGCTTTCACAGTTAAGGAACAGGTTCAGCAGTCACACTTTTTAGACCGAACCTCAGACCGGCCTCATGGTTGACCCTTCTGCAAGTGAACAGTACTAATCAAGTTGTTACAACACTTAGGCTCAACTCCAGTCACCTTCTTAAAAGTGCCAGGATCCAGAGTTTATTTAAAGCAATTCTGCTTGTGAAGCACTGCTGCTGACATCACCAGCGTATAATATCCTGTCACTGGGCCATCTGTTTATTTAGATCTAAACACATTATAACTACATAATCAAGCTCATTCTAGCTGACAGGAAAAGGACTCCATCTGGCCTGAACAATATAACTTTAATCAGTGATAACGATAATTATTATTAAAAACCTACTGGAGTTCTTTCGTACAAAGCTAATAAATCCAAATTGATATATACCAGTGGAAATTAGTAAGTTCTGTGAAATAAAATTGGAAGCAGTAAAAACTTTTCTTTTTTTGTATAAACTTATTTTATGAGAAAGCAGCTAATGTTAATGTTCTGGTATTTCTTCAGATGTGTTAAAATCCTTTAAATCGACCCATTAAGTGGTCTGTTAACCAAAACTATCTGAAGCAGAGGATGATCTCCCATTTACTCTGACTTAAAAAATTGTGTTTGGGGCTAATAAAATATATAACTTCATTCATTGTATCCAGAGTACTCTCTGTGGCTGGGGGGGAAAGCTTAGTAATATTAGACATTTTAATACTTTCAGTGTTCCTCTTTTATTGGATTACATATATTTTTAAATATTGCCTTATTGATTTTGGAGAGGAAGGGACAGGGAGAGAAAGATAGAAATATCAATGATGAGAGAGAATCATTGATCAGCTGCTTCCTGCACGCCCCACACTGGGGATGGAGCCTGCAACCAGGGCATGTGCCCTGACTGGGAATCGAACTGTGACCTCCTGGTTCATAGGTTGATACTCAATCCCTGAGCCATGCTGGCTGGGCAGGATTACATTTTTTTTTTTTAATTACTACCCCAAGACCTACTCCTAGATGCAAGAAGAAGAGGACTATGAATATACATTTTGAATTTTCTTATGGTCCTTCAGAAAATATTATGCAATATCTACCTAATTGGAAACAAGTAATATAGTGTCCTTCCCCCACCTCGCCCCCACCCCCACCTCACCATCCACACACAAAGTTTAAATAGTGTAACCTTGACTGCCTACATGCCACTACAAGACTTTGTTGGGCAGTTTTCTTTTTTCATTAATATTTAAACATAAATATCTTTTACTGCTATAAAAGGAAGCCAACAATTGCTTCTCTTCTGTGATTTTACTCTATCTTATTTATATTCTCTCCACCCCTTTGGCAAACCCAAAGGAGGTGATCATGTCTCAGCATTCTTTTCCCAAAATGTACTGCAGAACCATGAATTGAATGCGCTTCTATAAATGGTTGCCCATTCTGCCCTGCCCTTCATGTCATTGTCTCTAGAGCTTTGACCCTGTAGAATCGGCCCAGGCGTTCAGTTCAGCATTCGTCTCCCAAACTGTGTGATACATGGCACGTGTGCTAATACTATTTTCACTGAGCTTTTGCAATTAAGTAAATGTCAAAATATTTGATCAAAATCTCCAACTGGAAATATTTTTGAATTAATGCATTTGCCACACTTTCTTGCCTGCAACCTTGGTTTGATTCTTGTATACAATTGGGTAGTGTGGTTTTATGGACTATTAAGTTTACTATGTTTTAAATTCTGTTTTAGCTTTTAGTTCCAAACATTTCTGCTACACAAAAGTGTCAAAAAATGGGAGGTTAGAAAAAGGGTTTCCTTAGTAATTATCTATCTAACATTAGGAAAAAAACAAAAAACACAAAACCTGTAAACTTTTTTCTTACCTTCCTCCATCCTCCTATCCATACGCATTTCTTGAGTACCTTCCACATTTGTATATTAAGAACTCTGTTAAGTAATACTTAACATAGGCTGAAATGGGCATGGTTACTCCACTAAAAGAGTTTAGAATTAATTCAGCATTATTTTGAAGAGAAATTTTTTTGACTGCTCTGCATTCAATATTCATTATCTATGGATTTAAGGAAAGAAGCCAGTAAATCTGAATGCTTCACAGACTCCTAGCTCTGGAAAGAAGAGACCGAAAAAGCCAGGTTGAGTCTGGTCATTTCCAATGTAATGCCTGGTGGCTCAGAAGTCTGCTATATTCCTTAGGCAATGATTTATCCGTGTGGCATCTATAGTGAAACCAGCTCAGAGCATTTCAGTGCAGAGGATAAGTCCAACCTCTGGAGGGTCCCTTGTGTGTCTCCTAACAAAAAGAGAAATACTTTAACTATTGCTGAATATCTTATGGAGAACTTGCCCTCTATTCTCAGATACACAGTGCTTCAGGAGGCCTGTTTTCATGAGGGGAATAAACAATTCACACCACTAATAATTTAATGTGAATCAGTCTTATAAACTACTTCTCCAGTAGTACATTTAAAAAAATATATATTTTAATTGATTTCAGAGAGAAAGAAAGAGGAAGAGAGAGAAACATCAATGATAGGAGAGAATCGTTGATCAGCTGCCTCCAGTGCCCAGACCGGGAATTGAATCATGACCTCCTGGTTCATAGGTCAATGTTCAATCACTGAACCTCACTGGCTGGGCTCTAGTAGTACATTTTTAAGATGAGGAAAGCAAAAAAGAGGGATTAGTCAGATACTAGCCTCTGTAAATAGGAGACGTGTTTTGGAGCACTAACACTTTGCCAGTGCTATGCAGATCTGCCTCTTTCCAAGTCCAAATCAAATTATTTTCTATTGTTTATTGCAATAATTCTTTTAAAACTGTGAGAGAAAATATGCTGATTAAAAATAAGAATCTGTGAGAGCATGAGTGGTGGGGAAGGATGGGGGTTAATGGAGGCGGGGAATGAGGACACATTTGTAATTCCTTAACTAATAAAGAATTTAAAGATAAAAAAAAAAATTAGAATCTGACTGTCCAATACAGCTGTTAGTGATAGCAAACATTTGAATTAACATTTCCACTCCTGTCATTCTGGCTCAATCAGAGAGGTAAAATATAAAATAAAAGTTATAAACAAATATTTCTGCAACTTTAGCAACCCTTGAAATCTTTTAAAATAAGTGTGGTTTATATGCACATCAGCATTATTTTAATTCACAGACAATCAGCTCTGCTTTGACAGTGCATTATTCATCATAGAAGTTAGCAATATGACTAAAGTCATCCTTTATGCTTGTCCAGCAGATGTTACTAAAAATGTAGCCTTTGCATTCTTTTTTTAGGAACTAGAGTCCCTAAGCCA